GGCTCAGAGAAGTCCTGCCACCCCAGCAGGGCACGAGTGCCTTATTGGCACAATGCATCACAGTGACAAGGTGTTTGGATGATGTATTGCTTAAAAGATGAAGCCACCGGAGAATGAGCCCAAGATCAGATTAAATTTAATTATGGGATCAAAGCATTCACATCTGTCCTCCTGGTGATGAATTAACTGAGGTAAAGGATGTCAGGCCCTGGGAACAGGAGGCAGAGGAAGAGGGAGACGCGCCAATGAGGCCCGCAGAGGAGAGGGCACCACACCTGCCCCAGCCTGCCCCTGCGAAAGCCCCCAGGACGGAGCCTGTGGCCACCCTCAGAGCCTCACGGCCACGCACACCTGGGCACGTCACGCCGTAGCTCCTGGCTGTCCAAAGCCTGCTCATGAGCTCCCCAGGGCACGTCACTCAGAGCCCTTCCTGGGTCACACCTCTGTCATGGCACCAGCTCTTGGAAGCTGCCATCCCCGGCTCAGTGAGGAAGCCGTATTGACACCTTCTGGGACGTCTTCAGTGTGCACGCGTGAGTGCAGAGATGACTCCCATGAACAGCCCCCTTCAGTGGGTCCTCAGCTGGCTGTAATGCACAGGGCTCAGGGGACCTGGGGTGACGGAACTGCTCCATGTCTGAGGCAAGTCACCTGACTGCACGGTCTCTTGCAGAACTAAAGCTGCATGGTGGTGTGTGCAGCGCCTACTCCGGTGGCAGAGACAGGAGGGTCACTTCAGCCCAGTAGCTTTAGGTCAGTCTGGGCAACACAGCGAGACCCCCTCTCAAAAAAATGGCCTAAGTTTACATTATACAGAGTACATTTTATTTTAAAAATATATAAAACCTTGGTGGCTGAGGCAGGAGAATCCCTAGTTCAAAGCTAACCTCAGCAACTTAGCAAGACCCCGTGTTAAAATAATTTTTTTTAAAAGGGCTGGGGATATGGCTCAGTGGTTAAGCACCCTGAGTTTGATCCCTGGCACCAAATAAATAAATAAATAAAAACTCAGTTATATAAAAACTGAGGTAGTGTTATAAATCTTTTAAAGATTAAGCTGAGACACCGGGCATAGACTAGACATGCCCCAGACCAGCAGAGGCAGAGCCACTCCCTCTGACGTCTAACCCAGACCTGTCCTCAGTAGACTCATGGCCAGCAGCAGGTGGCTGTGAAGGCAAAGTCCTGAGAGATGCTGGATAGGACCTTGGGGCCCGGTGTTCAGCTGTCTGGGACTACAGTCAGGAGCCATGTGTGTGATGAGTTCCCAGGTGGCTGGGAGTCTGTGGACACATCTGAGGTGCTGGACGGGAAGCCCTGGCCCGTCCTGACATTGTGTTCTCCATCTCTGTTCCCATGACTGCCCGGGATCCCTGCCTGCCACCTCCGCCGTGTTCCCAGAACGCGCCCTGGGCTCCCTGTCTCTGCACCCTGCTCTTTACAGTCCAGCGGCAAATGCGTCCCCTGTGCTGGTATAAGCCTCCCTGTAGTGCCCAGCGTGGGCTACAGCACAGTTCGGAGCTCATGGATATGAGATATTCTCAGAATCTGCGGACAGCACAGAGGAGATTCCAAGGCTACGAGTCACATGACTTGTACTCAGAAACCAGCATGGCTCAGCCTCTCCATTTTCTCATTAAAAAATGGGGGGGGGTGACTACCCATCAGGCAGAGTATGAGGAGGACGATGAAATGGGCCTCGTGGGCATTTCTGTCCCCTGTCTTGGTGTGGCCCTGGCCTGGAGTGCTCAGAGCTGACTTGGGCAGGGGTTGGAACTCAGCTTTGGGAGAGCGTTGACCAGGAGCAGCACCATCAGGACCTTGGACAGCAGCTCAGTGGCTGAGATTCCAGGGCCACTTCAGGGCCCTGGGGAAGGTCAGGACTGTGGAGGATGCTTCAGCAAGTGCCTGGGCCCCTGGGGGCAGCGCTGCCCACCGGTTGGTTATCTCTTTCTGACCACACCTTAGCGGCTTTGCTCTCAGAAGCAGAGGCTGGGGAGGGTGGACCAGCTGGCCTGACAGAGGAGGTCAAACCCAGGGCCTGGGGACTTCCACGTGCGGCAGCCAAAGCTGTTGGGCTTCCCCATGGGTGCTGCAGCTTGGGGACCTACCTGGCCATGTTCCCAGGGGGAAGTCAGCCTGGCACTGGAAGGGGAGCCTGTGGGCCTCGCAAGACAAGACTTCCTGCTCTAAATGGGTCCCAGCCAACACAGAGGGTGGCTGCGCTCTTGACATTCAATCTTAAAATAAAACGTAGGCTCCAGAGAGAGGTGCATGTTTGTCTTGACCAGTCAGCTATGGGGGGGGGGGCTGAGGCCATAAGGAGCTCGCTGCAGACACTTGGAGGGAGCAGGCCCTTAAATGGCCGGGAATCATTTCCATCTTGTTGACAAACACATGCTACAAGACAGGAAATCACCCTCCTCAGTGCCCATTTTATCTCTGTTTAATTGCTGCTGGATAATAAATTACAATGCAGAGTCCATTAATTAAGCTAACACTGTCCATGGAACACCAGCTCCTTCTTTGGGGAGATGCCTGGTTCCAGGAGTTCTGATTCAGCCTGCATGTCCACAGCACTTAAGGGTCAGTCTAAAGACACCAAGGTACATGCCAGGCTTGGAAGGAGTGTATGGGAAGGGGCACCCTGACGAGCCAGCAGAGGGACTCCCGCCTGGCAGTGGGAGTGCCATGCTGAGGGTGAGTGCTTAATTCAGAACATGTGGTGGCACCGAAAACCACATTAGACCCACTTTAAAAATCAGCTCATGGCACGCGACCAGGGCTATTCACAAGCTTTCCTCTCTGAGTCAGTGGTCGGGGGCAAGGGGCAGCCTAATTTGGCTTGTTGTTCCATAATCAGCTAAATGGTAGGCGCACACATTTGGAGAAGCTCTGCATGCAGGTGGAATTGGTGAAAGATTAGTCCTAGTGATTTTCCAGCAGAGGCTGGCGCTGTGCTCTGAAGACCATGGAACACCAGCAGGACAGGCAGCCTGGGCACCTGGCTTCCACCTTCTGGGCAAGGGAGGGGGGTGGCCATCTCTGGGGTGAAGGGTCCATTCCATCTCTACCTAGGCATCCTTGCTGGAGTTCAGCAGGTGCTGAGAGGGAGGACCCAGAGGAGGGAACAAAAGAGAAAAAGAGGCCCCGAAAGATGTGTGTGTGTGTGGCCAGGTTCTCAAGGGTCCTCCCCAGACCGTTGGAGGGTGTTCTGGGCAGCCAGGGAGGGCGGTGGGCAGCGAGGAGGTGGCCAAGGACCACAAGTGACAGGTGTGGCCCCCTTCAGGTCCTGGTCCTCAAGTCAGCCCAGGCTTCCTGAGTGGCTTAGAGAATCGTCCCCTGAAGTGCCCAACACAAGAGATTGCTTAGAGCCAGGGGATGCTCAGATTTCTGGGGGTTTTTAGGAGAACGTCTCTCCCCTTCCTCATTCACAGAAGATGGCTTCTTCAGGCTGTTTTGTGATTATGCAAATATCTACCTGAGAGAGTCTCTATTATGCCATGGTTCCTAGGACTCAGTTCAAGTGCCATCTAGCAGAACATGTATCTGTACGTCCTAAACTATTTCCTGATGGCCTGTGACATGCTGGGCGTCCTCCTGGACATGTAGCCTGTGGGATTTGAAATATCCTTCAGAAAACTCTTGTGTTGAGCTCCCGGTCCCCAGTGTGGCCCGGTTCAGGGTGGGGGATCTAGGAAGGGCTTGGTCTCCAGGGCCACAGCCTCACAGGCAGGACTAATCCAGCTGACGGGTTGACAATGGGAATGGACTCCTACGTGGTGACTGTAGGCAGATGAGTGGGGGTAGAGGAAGCGGGTCAAGGAGGTGTGGCCTGGGGGTCATCTCTGTCTCTGGTCCTTTCCTCTCTCTCTCTCTCTGCTTCCTGGCTGCTGTCAGCGGAGTACCTTCCCACCATGCCCCTCTCCCATGTTGCTTTGCAATGGACTCAGCCAACGTGGACAGAACCTGTGAGATCATGAGTCAGATCCTTCCTGCTGTAAGCTGTTTCCTCAGGTGTTTGGGTCACAGTCACTAAAAGCTGACCAATGCAAAGCCTGAGAGTTAGGTGTTCTAAAAATGAATCCTGACATATCCCCAAATATGGTCAAGTCTAGTGAGATCACCAGGTGGCATTACCCCAGGGCAGGCCCAGCTGCCTGCTGCCTGGACTGGAGTTGTGGGCATCATGAAGATGGTGCAGGAGAGCCCTGCCTCCTGCCTCTTGTGCCCTCCCCTCGGGTCCTCCTGGTCCAGCACCACCAGTCCCCTCTTCTGTGGCTCTCGGTTGGCGGAATCATGTTTAAAATTTACGACTGTCAAGGCTGATGGCAGGTTTGGATGAGTCTTCTCCCTGTCTTGGAGAGTCTCTGCTGAGCTCTGTGTCCACACACACACACACACACACACACACACACACACACACACCCCACTGGTGAGTGCTGAGCCGTCAGAGGAAACCCCTTCTTCAGGCTCCAGTTTAACCTGGAGGTTGGTCTCTCGGCCCCTCTGGCCGCCTGTGTGCTCCCTGGAAATGCTTTTGAAACACGGTCCTCCTGCCCGGGAAGCACTCTGCACCTGCACCAGCACCCACGGTCCAGGTCACACTGATCTCCAAATGAATGTCAGTCTCAGGATGGACACGCCCATCAGCTTCTCAGGAGGGAAGCGTCTCATTTCTTCCAAGCTGCAGCCAGGCCTTCGGGTCATGGCAGCGTGTGCACCTGCGGCACCCCTCTGCAGACCAGCAGGGACTCTGAAGTTCATTCACAGGGTCCTTTCCACAGGACATGCGCACTGCCCTCTTAGCATTTGCTGACATAACTACCTGTGAACCCACTCCCTGCCTCCTGTGGGAAACAACCAGAAAGTCCCCACCGTGTGGAATCACAGAATAGGGACAGTCACCCAAGTACAGGGCAACAGGAGTCCCCAGAAGTCCCACAGAGCCCTGTGGGCTGGAGATTCCAGTCCCTTCTTGATCAGAGACACGCTCCTACCTGTGGTCCCCAGCCGTGGCATGGGTACAGTATGGCTGTGTGGTTCTCCAGCGGCCCCTGGTCCAGGCAGACGTCCTTGGCCTTGTTGTTGCGAAGCTGCAGGGACAGAGAAAACATGGCCATCAGAGCTCTCCTGGTGGGGCTGCTCCCCATTCCGTCCCCAGTACCCCACCGCCGAGGGGCATGTGGTTCCGACGTCAGGACGGGAAGGCCCCACCTTAGCAGGAGGAAGTCCTCCTGTGCCTGTGTCCTGGGCTCCAGCCTGGCTCCTAACTCCTCTGTCCACAGCATACGGGAGCTGAGGGGACTTTCTGTAAGGAACTCTGGTCATCCACCTGAGGTTCAAGGCACCTCAGGGAGGAGTCGGATGGGGACAGACATCCTAAGTGAACCTCAGCACTGATGCTGGCTCTGTAGCCCTGGGACGCAAGGGCTGGCTTCTCAGGCCATTACTGGCAGGAAAGCCAAAAATGAAAACTAAAGAACAAGCAAGACCTGGCCACCACGAGAAGCCCTAGCAACATGTATCTGCATACCTGGAACCATTTCCTGATGGCCTGTGACATGCCAGGCACCCTCCTTGGTGCCTAGAACTCACTTGTGGAGGAAATAGATGAGGTCCCCAAGGACACCCTGCTCCTGGGCACATCTCATTGGGGTGTGCGAGGCCTTCTCCAGCGCAGACCTCCAGGCCCATCACACCACCTGCCACCCAAGGACCAAGGCAAGAGGGCAAAGGGACAGGCTGCAGCCCCCTCCAGGGCCCTCTGGGTGCATCTTCCACAGACCAACCTAACCACGTGAATCAAGATGGAGGGCAGGAGGACCCTACTTGTGCACCCAAATCATGTCTAGGCCAACAAGTGAGCAGAGCTTAAAACTGCTTAAAAACCATCCTTATGGTTTATAAGAGTAACATCCTCTCGGTACACTTTGGGGACACAGAAAAGAATAATGATGTTGGCAATCCTTCATAGTCCATGGACCTTCACAATCCTCTACGGTCCTTCACAATCCTTCACCATCCTCCGTGGTCCTCCACGGTCCTCCATAGTCCTTCACAGTCCTTCACAATCCTCCAAGGTTCCCCAAGGTCCTACATAGTCCTCCAAGTCCTTCACATCCTTCATGGTCCCTCATGGTGCTTCACAGTCCCTCACAGTCCTCCACGGTCCTCCACAGTCCTTCACAATCCTCTATGGTCCTTCCTGGTCCTCCACGGTCCTCCATGGACCTTCACAATTCTCTATGGTCCTTCACAGTCCTTCAAAATCCTCTATGGTCCTTCCCGGTCCTCCACGGTCCTCCATGGACCTTCACCATTCTCTATGGTCCTTTGCAGTCCTTCACAATCCTCTACAGTTCTCCAAGGTCCTCCATGGTCCTCCACGGTCTTTCCAAGGTCCTCCACGATCCTGAAAAGTCTTTTGAAGGTTCTCCACGGTCCTCCAAGGACCCTCACAGACTTTCACAGTCCTCTATGGTCCTTCACAGTCCTTCATGGTCCTCCATAGACCTTCATGGTTCTTCATGGTCCTTCACAGTCCCTCATGGCCCGTCTCAGTCCCTCATGGACCTTCATGGTCCCTCATGGTCCCTCAAAGTCCCTCACAGTCCCTCACGGTCCCTCACGGACCTTCATGGTCCCTCGCAGAACTTCATGGTCCCCCATGGTCCTTCACAATCTTTCACAGACCCTCATGGTCCCTCATGGTCCCTCATGGACCTTCACAGTCCCTGTGGTCCTTCACAGTCCTTTACAGACCTTCAAGGTCCTTCAAGGTCTTTTGTGTTCTTCCATCGTCCTTTACGGTCCTTCACACAGTCAGTCAACCCTCCCATTTTTGGACAACTGCATTTTGTTTCGCTCTGGCTAGGATGAGGGACCCTATACACAAAGCTTTAGTTATATTTCCGATTTTGAAAGAATAGAGGTAGGTTCATATGACTGGATTACAGTGCCGAGGGTGCGGACACTGCAGTGTTCCCAATAAGCTGCTCAGGGGGAGGCTTCCCCTCCCCTCATCCTCCCAACCACAGGCCTGCAGATGCTTATCCACGTGCCAGTTTAAAGTATTTTAAGAGGAAAGAAACAAATCCTATTTTCATGTTTGCTATTAACATCGGAACGTCTCATGTTTTGAGAATTGTGTATTTCCCCACTGGGATCTTAAGTGGTTTAACTCTAGATTCGTAACAGGTCTTTATATATTAAGGACATAAATGTTTTTATGTTGTATTTGTTCCACATAATGATTTCAGATGGCCAAGCTTTTAACTTTTATTCTAATATTTATGCAATTAATCTATCACACAGTAATTGAATATTTATTTATGGAGGGCCTGGTCTGTGTCTGGCACTGTGCTGAGTTTCATGAACAAGACAACACAGTCCCCATCCTGTGGAGGTCCTTGTGTGGAGGGCAAGACACACAAAGAGGAGTGAGTGACCTGGTCAGGAGGCCCAGCCCTGCTGGGGTTCAGAGAGAACCGAGCTGAGCTCGGGAGGACACCCGGAAGGGGTTAGGTGGCATTGGCCCCCTCCCCACTGGGGAGAACCTCACTGCCAGGGCCACACCTCTGAGGGCCAGTCCCTCTCCCGTGGCAGAGCCGCCCCCTCCCCACAGACCCAGCCCAGGGCGTGGCCTGAGTTACCTCCCCGTAGGCCACAGTGTTATTGTATCTCCTCATTTCCGGGTAGACGTGGTCCAGGTACCACTGGAAGTTCTTACACTTCAGACTCTTCCTTAGGGCCCTCCTCTCGGAGACGTCGCCGATGTCGATCCCCGGGTTCTGGAAGCAGAGGAGAGAAGGGGCGTCAGCCACTGGAGCAGGCGCAGGGCCCCCTCTCTGAGGAGCTTTCTGGGAGGGGAGGGAGCCCATGGGCTTGCACAGCAGTGGCCTTAGGGGACCTGCCTGAGGCCCTACACACACACACACACACACACACCCACACACA